GGGGCCTCCTGCCCCATCTCATTACCGTCTCATTTACAGCACTTTAGCTGAAACCATCCTGTGTGTGTGTGTGTGTGTGTGTGTGTGTGTGCATGCCCACTATCTCTCCCAGTAGAATGTGCACTCCTTGAGAGAAGAGACTGTACCCCAGCATGTGGCACAATGCCTAGCACACAATATGCCCTCACTTAACTGTTTGAGACCAACTGCCCCGAGATCTAGGAACAGACATCACAGAAAGCCTATATTTGAAGGGGGCCTTAAAGAATCTAGGAGTCTGGCAGATAAAGAAGGCTTTGCAGATTTAAGATTCAACATTAAACTGTCATGTCCAATCATCACATTGCCTTTACTATATACTTCTTTTGACCTCTATGTGCAAATATCTTATAATTCATGGGTATAAATTTCTTTCTTCCTCACTATAACAAGTTCCAAAAGCTTAGTTTCTATTATTGCTATTAAAAAAATCTTTCAGGAGAGAAAAAAAAAAGTATAATCTAGGTTCTTATGGAAATTCATTTTTACTTCAAAACATCTCTCAGTATCTGTACATTGGTTTGAGACCTTCAAAGAGACTGACCTAACCAAACAAATACAGTAAACTAGGTTTGGTATGGGAACCTCAGAAAGTTTAGGAGCTTGATTTCTTTTTTTTCCTTTTCTTTTCTTTTTCTTTTTTTTTTTTTTTTTTTGAGACAGAGTCTCACGTTTGTTGCCCGGGCTAGAGGGCTGTGGCATCAGCTTAGTTCACAGCAACCTCAAATTCCTGGGCTCAAGCAATCCTTCTGCCTCAAGCCTCCTGAGTAGCTGGGACTACAGGCGTGCACCACCATGCCTGGCTAATTTATTTATTTATTTGTGTGTGTGTGTGTGTGTATGGTTAGTTGGCCAATTAATTTCTTTCTATTCATAGTAGAGACAGGGTCTCACTCTTGCTCAGGCTGGTTTTGAACTCCTGACCTTGAGCAATCCGCCGTCCTCGGCCTCTCAAGAGTGCTAGGATTACAGGTATGAGCCACTGCGCTGGCCAGGAGCTTGATTTCTTTAGAATCTTGTTTTTCTTCAATGTTCAAGTTTACTTAACGAAGGAAGGAAAGTGTCACTTATCAAAATAATCAAACTTCCCTCACGCGCCAAAAATTTAATCAGCTTAGTGTTTACGAAGGGGCAAAAGACAGAATTAACATAAAATGCCATTTTATTTTGGAATAAGAGAGGCAGAGACAGGTAGCTGTTAATTTCTTTGACACTTCAGAGCCATACACCCCATTCCTTGCTTGGTAGTGAGACATCTGCAGCCGCCTTCATTTTCTGGAGAAAGGATCTGGCTGGGGAAAGGCAACCCAGGCCATCGTATACACTCCACAAACAACCACTCAAGTAGGGGAAAGGCCACATACTTTTAGAGTAGAGGGAACCTAACTCGGGTGATCTGCCAACTTCTCATTCTACAGAAAAGGACGTGGAGGCCACAGAACAGAGGTGAAATTTTTCTCAAATCCACAGTCAGCAGAACCCAGGAATCCTGACTTGGTCAGCCATTGTTTCCACTATCCTTGCTTATATTTCTTCAGGACATCAAAGTCTTACAAATATAGCCAGAATGCTCGGAAGGAGAGAAGACTCATGGAACAGAGCTAAGACAAGGAAGTCTGACTCAGACCTGAATAAGACAGCGTAAGCACCAGTCATCTGGACATCCTCAGTTGGCCATGAGAGACACTCTGAGCACAGCAGGCTCATGGCTTCAGACAGCTCAACCGGATTTTCCCAGTATTGATTGTTATGAGTCACAGTCCTCCTGCAAGAGGTCCCCATTCAGTTTTAAAAAAATCAACTGGATTTTTTAAATCCAGTTTATTTTAAAAAATAAACTGAACGCACAACATCAACTCAGTGAATTTAACCCAACAAAGGTGAGTAAAGCGATAAATTAAAGGTGCCTATAGAGAGAAAGTCAAGGGTAGAAGGAAAAAATCTAAGCCATGCAAATAAATGTCTTTTGTCATTTCAGTTCAATCCAATTGGGGCTGGGAATGAATGTTTGTGCCCTGCTGTCATCACTTCCTATTCTTCATTGAAGACATTTTAGAAAAAAAACTCAATATCTCCTAAACTACAAGTTTCAAGGGATGGGAGAGGCAGAAAAGAGAATTGAACATAAAGTTGTAAAATACTGCCTAGGAGAATCTTTATTTAAAATAATCAACTAAAATGAAATAAAGCAGTCAATTCTGACACGCAGTCCTTTGGGTGACAACATGGGCAATAAATACTATATACCTGTTTTAACTGAAGCAAATAATTTCACAAATGGCTGGTTAGTTCTTCAACATGATAAATCTGAACATTTGAGCACAATTTTAACTAAAAATTGGAACTATTTACATTCTGGAATGATTGATAGTAAGCATTGGTGATTATTTCTTTTCTTAAAAAATGTACTATTATAGGGTATTCCATTCATTTTGTGGGAAATTCAAAAGTTAGACAAAGACCCAGAAAGAATTCCATATGACAAAAGAGCCCAAATTCTTCTTTTGAAGTCATTTTACTATATGAAAAACTTCTTCAAACAAGTGATCAAGGCCAGAAAAACATTTTCTCTGTATAAATATTTGCTGTATTATTTACCATATTGTGGTATAATTTGGACTCTATATATAGTATTTTTCCCAATCCCCAAGCACCAAAAATCAGTGAATGAATGATTTGAGGGAAATATGTCAACCCTCCATTAGTAGTTGAAACTACAGTTTGAAAATTAAGGCTGGGCGCGGTGGCTCATGCATGTAATACTAGCACTCTAGGAGGCCTAGGCAGGCGGATTGCTCAAGGTCAGAAGTTGGAAACCAGCCTGAGCAAGAGTGAGGACCCCCCCCCATCTCTACTATAAATAGAAACTAATTGGCCAACTAATATATATAGAAAAAATTAGCCAGGCATGGTGGCACATGCCTATAGTCCCAGCTACTCGGGAGGCTGAGGCAGTAGGATTGCTTGAGCCCCGGAGTTCGAGGTTGCTGTGAGCCAGGCTGCCACCATGGCACTCACTCTAACCTGGGCAACAAAACGAGGCTGTCTCAAAACAATTAAAAAAGAAAAAAAAGAAAGAAAGAAAGAAAAAGAAAATTAGACTCAGTGGACCATACATCCCCTGGGCAGGAACAGACTCGATGTATAATGTGTTCTCATTAATGGATGTGCATAATGGTCATCTTAATGGCCTTTCCTATGATGATATTCACCTTTGAAGTACATTAATTTTATGTAGCAAATACATTGTTAAAATTACTTCAGGAAAGGATATTAACACTGTTGACCTTTCAGAGACCACACCAGGAAGCAGCATCCCAAGCGCATGTGAGTAACAAGTGCTTAAGCAATAAGCATATAGCCTTGATCTTTCCACAGTGGCTGCTAATCTGACCTTGGGTCAGTCAAAAACTTGGCTGCTCTGTTTTGAAAACATCTAGGTAAATGTGGCTTTTAAGTATTTAACATGATCAAGAAAAGCGATAAGGCCCTTTGAACACCATGTCTTCTTTTTTACTTATAATTCTCCAGGTATCTTCACCTCCTTGAGAAGCCTTTAAAAGCAAAACACACACAACTGACCAAGAAAATGTGTGAAGTCACATAGACACACAGACACAAACCGTAGAAACAACTTAACCTAGGCGGGGTCACCGTCTTGCCGGAGCAGTGAAAACTTCAGATGGCAATGACTAAATAGAGAAACTCAAGCACTTTCAGGACTCCTCAGTGTGGCTAGCACATGCTACAGACACTGTAAGCAAGTCACGTTGCTTAAGTTTCCTCATCTGTAAAAATGGAGATAATGATTTCAGAACATAAGAGCATGTTAAGAAATGGAAAAAAAAAAATTGGCTTGATGTTCAGTTTCCAATCCCTGCCAAGCCAATATTGCTATGACTACGTGGAATGTGCCATTTGCATTAAGAAGGATGCAAGAGGGCTGACTGTACGTAAACACGCAGTCAGCACACACTTGGGTTCTGCCTGATCCTTCTGGGTGCTGTTTAGAAAAAGGAACAGGTTCTCAACTACTAGTAATGCTTTTTCTACCAGAAAGTAAAGAAGAGAAAATACTGCAGGAATTCAAGGATGACCCAACATCCAGTCAAGCAGTTTCTTTAAGGTAGGGTTGACACACCAAGATTACTAATTTATAAAAAGCCCCAACTGCTAATTCCAATGGCCTTTATCATTCTAACTACTCTCATCAGGGGAGAAGGCAAGAGAGATTGACCTTGATTCACCTCATTTCCAACATAGAAAACCCTTCAGCACAGTGATTATCAACCACACAAGCATATTAGAATCACCTGGGGAGCTTTTAAGACCACAAGCCACACCCCAAACCAATTTCATCATACTATATCTACAGGTGGGGGGGTGGCAGGCATTCATTTTTAAAAGAAGCCGGTGTGATCCGAGATGCAGCCAAGGTTGAGACTTGCAGACGAGGATCACCTCTCTTCACCTCACGTAACTTCTGCTGCAAGCCAAACTAGCAAAGCCAACCAAGAGCATTTCACAACCACAGCTTCTGAGAGCAGGTACTATAGGATCCAGAACGCTGGAAGACCACGGGTGCCTACACCTGGGTCCACACAGAGGGCTGAACCGAGGTTATAAACTAGGGCTCTTCGTAGGAGAGCCATTATCTCAAACAGTTCACACTTCAACAAAAATAAGTTCAACAATCTTCAGAGGTGCCACCAACAGCAAAATTTGCCTCTGACCATTAGGATTTCTTTTTTTCCTTTAACAGACAAATCTCTTGGGGAGGAAAGTCAGAATACTGGTGGGCGTGCGCCCCACACACAGAGCCTACAGAGAAGGAAGCATGCAATTCCCCGGGCCGCCTGGAAAGCAGCCCGCAGGCTCCCCACCGCGCGGGCCCGTGGCCACTGCACCTGCTGGCGCGCTCGGCCGCACCTGCCGCGCCGTGCCCTGCCCTCGCCTCCTACCTTCCAGCAGCTCGTCCAGGCTGGTGACCTTCCGGCTGCCATCGATGGTATAGATGGTGCGGACGCCCTGGGGCAGGTTCACATTGTCCGACAGGGAGCGGGTAAGCTCTATGAGGAGCGCATCGAAGGACCGGAAGCGGTCGCTGGAGATGGCAAACACCAGGCCCTTGAAGTAGCGGTCCCCGTTCCGGTAGAAGCGCGCCTTCTTGGCCTTCTTCTCCGAGCTGAGAGCCTGCAGGGTCCGCGTGCGGTAGAAGCTGCAGTGGGCGCTGTGCGCCGGGCTGGGGATGAGCCCGTTCCCCTTAGGGCCGGAGCTGCTGCTGCCCCCAGAGGAGCTGGGTGCCCCTCTCCGCGACCCCGGCCGCGGCCTTTTGTCCCGTTCCTCAAAGTGCTCCAGCTCAATGCTCCTGGTGCTGGCCATCGCGGCTGCTCCAAGGGCTTCCCACAAAAAAAGCGTTCCAGGCAGACTAGTGCCAATGCCAGAACCCGTGCGGGGAGGTCTGACTGTGAGGGCCCTTAAAGCGCCGGGACACCTGGCGCTGGCATCCCGCCCTCCCCTTGCAGGTGGGGCCGATTAGCCGCGGAGGCGCCGGCCCGCCCGAGCCCGCAGCTAAAAGGGGCCGCAGCGGCGAGCTGCCCAGCGCATTGTCCGGCGCGGCTCGCCGCGAGCCTCCCGCCTGCCGGGGAGCCCCACGCCCCCCCAAGCGCCTCCTCCACCGGCCACGCCTCACAACTCCCTCTCGGGAGCTCGCCCGAGAGGCAAAGTTGGGCCGCCCGAGGCTTGCGCCGGGCCCGCGGGCGCACACAAAGATCAGCCGCCCGGCGCGGCTCGCGTCCGCGCTGCGCTCCCGGGAGCGCCGAGGGGAAGGGAGGAAGGAAGAGAAGGGGGAGGGGCGGGAGCGTGGGAGAGGCGCCCGGCCCGTGGGGGCGTCGCGCCCCGGCCCGCCCACGCGCCCGGCCCGCGGCCCGCGCCGCAGCGCCGCAGCCTCGCTCGCGCCCAGGCCCTGCCCGCGGGCAGCGCGCGCCGTTTCGGGCGGAGAGGGCCGTGCCGGGCCGCTTCCTCCCACAGAGCCCGGCCCTAGCGGGAAATAACGCGGCCCGCCTCCCCCGCAGCCGGCCGGCCCAGCCCACCCGCGGGCATCCGCGCGCAGGCCCGACCCCGCCGCCCGGCCGGGGGTCAGGGCTGGAGGGGGCTTGCCGGACCCAGGGATGCCAAAACCGCGGAGAGGGGGCGGGGGCCTGGGGAGGAGGGGGCCGGCGCGCTGGGCGCGGGGGCGATGCGGCGCGAGCCGAGCGGCGCCTCCTGGGTCCTAGGCAGCCCCGCCGCTGACAGCGCCTCCCGGCGCCGCGCGCTAATGGGCGCAGCCGCAGCGCGCTCCTCGGCCTGGGACGCGCCAGCGCGCAGGCCAGAACAACTACAAAGGAAGGAGACTCAAGGGCAGGCGGCACATCCCTTAGCCGCCCTTCCCAGGGAGGAAGCGAGGCCACACTAGCGCAGAAATCCCAAACACTGCATTGGGCTGGGGACACAATTTATCTTTGAAAAGCACATTTGTTGCTTTATTGAAAAAGCCTTTGAGAAGGCCGGGCGCTGTGGCTCACGCCTGTAATCCTAGCTCTTGGGAGGCCGAGGCGGGCGGATTGCTCAAGGTCAGGAGTTCAAAACCAGCCTGAGCAAGAGCAAGACCCCGTCTCTACTATAAACAGAAAGAAATTAATTGGCCAACTGATATATATAAAAAAAATTAGCCGGGCATAGTGGCGCATGCCTGTAGTCCCAGCTACTCGGGAGGCTGAGGCAGAAGGATCACTCGAGCCCAGGAGTTTGAGGTTGCTGTGAGCTAGGCTGACGCCACGGCACTCACTCTAGCCTGGACAACAAAGTGAGACTCTGTCTCAAAAAAAAAAAAAAAAAAAAAGCCTTTGAGAAAACAGCTTCCACGGTTTCCATTGCAGATTCGCTAAGATGGTACGTTGAGTAACTTTCAACAGAATGAATGATCTTCTGATCATTGGCTTTTGAGGGATTTATTTAATCAACAAATATTTATTGAGAGCATGCTATGTGCCGGGCATTGTTTCATCCGGGGGGATGCCCTAGCTCAGGAAAGGGAATGTGCGCTCTCTCCCCAACGCGCTCACATTCAAGAGATATTTAATGTTGCCAATCTGAGCTTCTTACGTGAGCGGTCTATCATTTGTAAGCACTCATCACACTGGAAACCTTAATTTAGCAGTGTCTGGTCAGCAATACAACATGTTTTACAAAGGCTTGTGAGAAATATTAGTTATTTCCATTTTGTCATCCAAGAAAGATGAAGTTCAGAAATGTTTGGGCCTAATCCAACAAGTGAAATGTTAAGACTATTCAGCAACTGGTTCTCCGAATGGTCCTGGACAGCAATTCCAAACTGGCCTTTAAGGTAGAAAGGCATAATTGCTTTTCTTGGAATGAACTGAGTCCTGGTAGAGCATGAATAAAAGAAAGTGGAAACACATGCAGCCGCCTTTAGCACCTGTGAAGTTGGTCCAGCCCTCCCTTCCCCCCACCCAATGCCCCAGAGGTTTTCTGCTCCTTACACAGTAGTTTCCCCAGGGCAGTTTTGGGAACACACCTCAGCATACCTGACTTCTAGACCCAGTATTGGGGCACGCTGGGAAGTCAGAACCGCTCTGAGGCTTCAATGTAGTTTTTCCAGAGGAAAATCATGCACTATGACTACATCCACTGCCATGAAAGGCCTCAACCCGGACGAATTAAATTAGAATTTCTAGAGATGGGCTTCTCCAACAGTGTTTCTAAAAAAATACTCCTAATGTACAGCCAGGATTTCCAACCACAGGCTGTAACATTAAGAGTCAAATAGATCAGTAGTTCTTTTCAAACTTTAATAAACTTACATGTCATGGGAGAATATTGTTAAAATGCAGATTCCATTTCACAAGGTCTGGGATGGAGAATGAGATTCTGCATCTTCTTTCTTTTTAGACAGGGTCTCACTCTATTGTCCAGGCTAGAATACGTGGTGTTATCACAGCTCACTGCAACCTCAAACTCCTAGGCTCAAGCAATCCTCTTGCCTCAGCCTCCCGAGTAGCTGGGACTAGAGATACGTGCCACCACACCCAGCTAAGAGATTCTGCATTTCTATTAATAATAAGCACCCAGATAATGCCAATGCTGCTCTTGGTACAACTCTTTGAGAAACAAGTGACTAAATGGCAAATTTCTTGAGATAAGGCTCCATCTAAGTAGTAGTAACTCCAGTGCCTGTCAACTTTATAAGTTTCTTATAATGTGTGTGTTCATTTGAATTGCTATTAGTATTTCTTAAGGGTGCAGGGAGATTCTGTCATATATTGCTATCGTAACAAATTATCCCAAACTGCAGATTAGGAATTTAGGAACAGGTTTCCTCAAGGCCTCACATGACTGCAGTCAAGTCATTGACTGGTATTACATTCATCTGAAGGCTTGACTGGGGCTGGTTACTTCCAAGATGGCTCACTCACATAGACATTCTTGAAGGCCTTGATTCCTTGTCATGAGCAACTTTCCACAAGGTTGCTTGAATGTAATCATGACCTATCAGCTGACTTCCTCCAGAGCAAGCATCCAGGAGAGAACAAGGTGGAAGCCACAATATCATTTATGATATACCCTTGGAAATCATTTATTGTCATTCCCACAATATCCTGTAGGTTACACAAGTCAGCCCTGTTCAGTGTGGGAAAACACTACACAAGGGTGTGACTACCAGGAGGCAGAGATCACTGGGATCATCTTGCAGGCTAGTACCACGGGCTTCAAATCTTTCAATATTTAGGAAACTGGCATATATACATTTTCTCACTCAAAGATCCTATGTAGGCCGGGCGCAGTGGCTCATGCCTGTAATCCTAGCACTCTGGGAGGCCAAGGTGGGCAGATTGCTCGAGGTCAGGAGTTCGAAACCACCCTGAGCAAGAGCAAGACCCCATCTCTACTATAAATACAAAGAAATTAATTGGCCAACTAATATATATAGGAAATATTAGCCGGGCATGGTGGCGCGTGCCTGTAGTCCCAGCTGCTCCGGAGGCTGAGGCAGGAGGATTGCTTGAGCCCAGGAGTTTGAGGTTGCTGTGAGCTAGGCTGCTGCCATGGCATTTACTCTAGCCTGGGCAACAAAGCGAGACTATGTCTCAAAAAAAAAAAAAAAAAAAAAGATCCTATGTAAAAGATTTGAGCCTTCTTAAGAAGTAGATATAATTATATAATATTATATTTTAACATTATTCCCTAACATTATATCCCTAAGTTAAACAAAGGTTACTGCCTTTCAACAAGGTTGAGGAAGAAGGGAATGTATTTCTAAAGTTGTTACTTAGTTAAAAAGAATATTTTTGAGGCCAGGTATGGTGGCTCACACCTGTAAGCCACACCTGCTAGCACTTTGGGAGGTATAAGGAGGGAGGATCACTTGAGGCCAAGACTAACATAGTGAGACCCTGTTTCTATGAAAAATGGAAAAATTAGCGTGGTGTGGTGGTACATGCCTGTAGTCCTGTAGTACTCAGGAGGCTGAGGCAGAAGAATTGCTTGAGTGCAGGAGTTTGAGGTTGCAGTGAGCAATGATGATACCACTTCACACCACCTGGACAACAGAGAGAACTTGTCTCCAAAAACAAATTTAAAAAAGGAATATTTCTGATCCTATTCTTTGCATTTGTTTGAAGAATCTTATTTGTGACCCTCATATAAGAATTAAGATGCAATCACTTTTCATAAGATATTTATTGATAAATATGAAATATATCAAAACCCAATTGGTCAAAATTTGAAGATTTATTAAGGTGGAAAAAAACTAGTTTCAGCATTCCAATTCTAATGCAAACAAAATTTGAGGGCTCTAGTTAGGCAACTATTCATTAATTTGGGTAACTTCTTGATTGAAAATTTATAGAACCAGGCTGGGCGTGGTGGCTCATGCCTGTAATCTTAACACTCTGGGACGCAGAGGCAGGCGAATTCCTCAAGGTCAAGAGTTGAAAACCAGCCTGAGCAAGAGCGAGACCCTGTCTCTACTATAAATAGAAAGAAATTAATTGGCAAACTAATATATACATAGAAAAAATTGGCCGGGCATGGTGGTGCATGTCTGTAGTCCCAGCTACTCAGAAGGCTGAGGCAGCAGGATTGCTTGAGCCCAGGAGTTTGAAGTTGCTGTGAGCTGGGCTGATGCCATGGCACTCACTCTAGCCTGGGCAACAAAGCAAGACTCTGCCAAAGAAAAGAAAAAAGAAAAGAAAAGAAAAGAAAAGAAAGAAAAGAGAAGAGAAGAGAAGAGAAAAGAAAAGAAAAGAAAAGAAAAGAAAAGAAAAGAAAAGAAAAGAGAAAAGAAAAGACAAAAGGAAGAAAAGAAAATTTATAGAACCAAAAAAGATTCCCCCCTTTCATGCAATTGCAGAATTTTCAGTGTAAGATATTTTAACTGGCATTTCCTTTGTTGAGATGCCCTTCTTTTTCTAACCAAGAAACACATCTGATTGCTGATCATTCATCCTCCCAGAGATGATCTAATTCTTGGTAGTAATTGCAAGGTCTACCAACTCTGTCTTCCAGGTCCCTAAGGGACTTCATTAGGAGGAGCTGGCCACAGATGCCTCCTAACTATCTGGAAGGTTGCCTCGACCTTAGCTGGCCCTTGGTTGTGAATTCTTTATACCCTTTCCCAACTTCCCTTAAATTAACACTTGTTTGAACAAAAATTTTGTGAAGAGTACTTTAAAAATGGCTTTTTTTTTTTCCCCCAAAGACAATTCAAGAATTTCAATCCACCAGGAGTTAGAGATCAGCCTTAGCAAAAGAGAGACCCCATCTCTACAAAAAATAG